ACTCGAGGAGAGGAGACTCAGGAGAGGAGAGGAGAGGAGGGGAGAGGAGAGGAGAGGAGGGGAGAGGAGAGGAGAGGAGGGGAGAGGAGAGGAGAGGAGGGGAGAGGAGAGGAGAGGAGGGGAGAGGAGAGGAGAGGAGGGGAGAGGAGAGGAGAGGAGGGGAGAGGAGAGGAGAGGAGGGGAGAGGAGAGGAGAGGAGGGGAGAGGAGAGGAGAGGAGGGGAGAGGAGAGGAGAGGAGGGGAGAGGAGAGGAGAGGAGGGGAGAGGAGAGGAGAGGAGGGGAGAGGAGAGGAGAGGAGGGGAGAGGAGAGGAGAGGAGAGGAGGAATTCCAGTTGGAAGGGGACTGCAATGATCATTGTCCCACTGCCTGCCCAGCTGGGGACTGGTCCAAACTTAAGCCACATCCTGTCCTTAGACACCAGCCCAGCAAAGCGTGGCTTAGGTGACCACCTGGGACAAGCAACATCCCTGTCAGAGGCTCTGTGCTGGGTGAGGCAAACCCCCCTCAGGGCTGTGCAAAGGAACAGAGCAGCTCCAGCATCACTTCTGCTCCAACACTCCACGTGTGGGCACCTTGGCTTTCCAGGACCTTGAAATCTGGGCAAAAGCCCCTGTGGAATTGCGGGTGGTGGGATCCAGGGCCAGCCAGTGGCACAGCAAAGGGCAAGGTGCCACCAGCAGCGTCTGCAGGAGGAGGAGGAGGGATGGAGGGGACACAGCTGAGCCCGTCACTGGGCACACGGACGCGGGAATTCCTCTCGAGAGCAGGACTGCTGGGGTGGCATCGGCAGGAAATCAATACCGGGCATTCCCAATCACCTGATCAATCACATCCACCCACCCCTGGCTCTCTCCGGAGTCGGTGTTGTGCAGCATCAGTGGAGGCTGAAGTCCCGTGAGCACAAGATGTGCTGGGCGATGTCGGCGTCGTGCAGCCCCGACCACGTGGGCTCGCCCCTGCGCTCCCTCCATGCGGTGCCGCTACTTCTGAGTCCAGTTACCTAGTTCTAAAGTGTTTCAACGTGATTTTATTTGTTGTAGTTGCTGCTCCTGTTGCTAGGTTAGAACTTTGAATATGCATCTTAGTGAGTGGTGTGAGGTGTCAGTTCTCTGCGGGTGTTAATTCACTCCCGGGCTGCCGGGAGCAGCTCCTCTCGCTGAGCTCTGTTATCTCATCCTGGTGTTGTCGCTTGCTTTCTCCCAGGCGGGGTCTGGAGTTTCCCCTCTTCCCTCCCCAGACCTTCTGGGCTGGGATGCTCCTGTTCCACTCACAAGCCTTTGTTGTAGACCACAGTCTTACTGCTGGTGGCCATGGCGATCTCGGGCTCCAGCCGAGACGTCTCGATCTGCGAAGGCAAAGAGGAGCGGGATCAGAACCGCGGATCGATCGATTAAGGCGGAGATGGAAATAATTCCGTGGCGATCACGCCTTTTCCTGGTGTTTCATGTGCCGTGCTCCAGCCTCCAGCCCCCCCCGATCTGGATGGGTTTGTAGCGCACGAAACGCTGCACGTTCGCTGCCTGGCAGTGCTCAATGAATTATAGAGTGTCTGAGGCTCCAACGCATCCCACCCATCCCAGTTTTCCATCCCTTCCTCTCCCTGCAGCTCGCAGGGATCCGGTGCCCAAAGCTGGACCTGGCAAAGCCCAGGGCTGAGCGGTGCCACCAGGGAAGAGCCTGTCTTGGCTCCACCCTCACAGCCAAACCCTTCCTGCCCTTCTCCATCTCCATCAAATCTCCGTCCCTTTCCTCATTTTCTCCCTCCACCAGCTTCTCCCAAAGCTTTCCCCTGCTCTGAAATCTTTCAGAATCTCCTCACCCCCGGGAGGGATCCGTGGCTCTCCCGGTCCCCACAGGAAGCGAAGACCCCGCTCCCAGCCGGGACAGGACATCTGGGAAAACCTGGAATTTTTGAAATCCTATACATTGAACCCACGCTGGTGCTGACACAATGCGAGGAACCCACGTTAAAAATCGAAATGCTTTTGAAAATGTTTAACCTAGTTAGACAAATTAGCAAAAATTTGTGCAAAACAATTTAGGTATTTAAAATATTCAATGTTTTTAAAAACTGGAAAAACTGTTCTTAGCTTTCAGCTGCAAAAACCCAACAAAATATAACATCAAAGCAATCTTAACATGAGGTGCAACATAACCCTTCAGCAAAGCTGTTAAACAGCTACTGAAGCATCATGGGAAATAGCACTTCATTTATTCAAATGCACATATGTCAGGTTTTTGCACCATATGTCATTCCAAGCTATTTACAGTAATAATTAAATCTTAATCAACGTTTAACCTCTGTAAAATGTTTGAAGGGATCTAATCACCCTTCAGACTGCACTAATGAAGGAGAAATATATAAACATAAAAAGAAAATGATGCATAGATAGCACACCAGAAAGAACAGTAATTGCAAAATTGTATTTCTTTTAAATATAATCAGCAAATTATGTAAAGTAAAGCCAACGAGTATTTTAAGTGAAGACATCTTGGGTGTCAGAGGTGTGATCAGCTAATTTTGTACTGCTATCCATAACAGATGTAGCATATTTTCTTTTAGTGCCATTATTAGCAACTTCACCATTCCTTTCAGTGCTGCAGCACAAAGTGAAGCATTGTGCCGGGAGAGCACCGGGAAAGGTGCAGGAGATCCGGATCCGACGGATCCCGTTCGAGGCAGGATTAACTCTGCTCTGCCTGCCTCTGACGCAGCTTTTCCTCCCTTTGTGTGGGGGTTTTTCTGCCAGGGACAGGCAGAAAAGCTCCGAGGTTTTGGGGCTGGGTGGGTTCAAGCACCGGGAGGAAATATTCCAGGTGGGAAGTGGAGTCGCCAGGCTGGGGTTCAAGGAATGGCTGAATGTGGTGATGCCACACCACTGCCAAGGTGGGGACGGGTCACAGGTTGGATTCTGTGATCTCAGAGGGCTTTTCCAACCTCAGTGATCCTGGGATTCTGTGCTTTGAAATGAATCCCACCTGGCCGTCCGTTGCAGGGCTTGGGAAAATGGGGCAGCCCAAACCCAGCCTGCTCCCGGGAAGTCTCCACACAAACCCAACGGAGAGGCCCCCAGTCCCGCCCTCTCCAAGGCTTTGGAGAACTGGGAGCTCCAAGGAGAGCCACAGCTGCCCTGGAGGAGCCCAGAGCAGTTCTCTGAACGCCCCGGGGATGTGCCGAGCTGGGAGCCAGGGGCTGCGCGGGGGGATGCGCACCAGGCTGGGAGAGGGAAGGAAGGAGGGAAGGAGCAGTGTTGTGTTCACGCTCTCTTGGGACACAATTCAAGAAGCAGCGAGCACAATCCAAGCTGAACAGCAGGAAGAGTATCCTGGTGGGAAGAGCAAAATATCGCAGCCGACTGCTCGGGGAAGGTGTGGGGCGTCTGTGGTGGGAAGTTTTCAGCACAAATTACAGGGAACCCATCAAGAATAGTTTAGGCAGAGCTGAGATTGTCTTGGTGGAAGGAAGAGATGAGATAATTGTTTGTAGATCCTTCCAGCTTCCATCCCCCGGTCCAGGGGGGGAAAAAGCTCCTTTCCCTAGGTGGGGGATGAGTTCTTCATCCACGGCAAGGCTGTGGGGTCTGAGGTGGGTTCGGGGAGGATGGGATGGAGGCGGGATACTTCTGGTGACTGAGCAGGACGTGGGAATTCACGCCCGAGGTGGGAGTGCTCAAAGACCACATGGATGTGGCACCTGGGGACATGGCCAGCGGTGGCCTTGGCAGTGCTGGGGAATGCTTGGACTGGATGGACTCTGAGGGCTTTTCCATTTTAACGATTCCACGGTTCTCGTGTGGGATGGGCACCCAGGCAGGGAGCTCTGTGACACCAGCAGGTGCTGGTTTGGAGATGTGTGACACCAAACCCAAAGCCTGGAAAGGTGCTGGAGAAACTGGGGGTAACTGGTTGAACTGGAGCCTGCTCTGCAAGTCTCTTTCTGGCTGACTTCAGTCAAGGAGGGATTAAAATCTGCTCTGGGGCCTCAGGAGCTCCAAGGGGTGCATCTGCACCAAGGAAAGATGTACAAGAAGTTGGGAAAGCTGCTCAGAAATCCATCAGGAGGAACCTACTCCTCCCACTTGGAAATCAGATGGAGAAGAGCAGGGAGATGATGGTGGGTTACAGGTATCAAGATAACATTAAATCACAACCTGGCTGTGTACCAGGTCAGTCTTTGACTCCCTTGGTGGTGGTTTTTGTTGGAAAGTGTAATTTCACTCATTTTGGGATAGACGGATCTCCAGAATCCTGGACCTGCTCAGCCAGCCTTCCACTGGCCACAGAATTGTGTCAGATGTGGACACCACGGTTCCTTGTCAAGATTTTGGTGCCTCAGCTCCCAGATGACCCTGATCATGGTCATGGCCATGCTGGGAGCCCTCCTGTGCAGGAGCAGCTTGGGACCTGCTGGGCCCCCCCTGATGGGACCTGTCCCCCTGTCCCACACAGGGCACTTTGTCCCTTCAAACCGAGTGCCCACCGTGGGACTGGGGTTCAATCACATCCATCCTCTTCCTCCCAGCTCCGTCTGTGCCAGGGCAAAGCAGGGATCCTCTTCCTGGCTTTGGGATGATGGCACTGGGGGGACACCAGGAAAGGGCCCTGACCTGTGAATCCAGCAGGAGTCCGGGAGGGACAGAGGTTCCGGCAGCACTGAGGGACACGGGGTGGGAAGCACTGCCCCCAGACAGTGCTGTAAGGGGGGTGTCTGGGGCAAACCCCAGATTTGGGGCCGATGGCTGCACGGACAGCTTGGTATCCAACACGGGGAACTCTCCAGTGAGGCCGTGGGAGAAGCAGGAATTCCTTCAGCGCCCTGTGAGGCCGCTGGAAGCTCTGCCATAGATCCAGGGAGCTCCTCACCGTGATGAAGCCCAGCCCAGGCCCTGGGAGCAGGTGAAGCCTGAGGACGCTCCTTTCCCTCTGGCAGACAGCCAAGAACACGAGGGAAAAAGGGGGAAAACCCCAGGAAGTCCTGACCCTTACGAAGCACCTGTTCATGGAGCAGCTCAGGCAGGACAGCAGCGATGCCAGCACCGGTGCCTCTGACCCGCTGAAATCCATCCTTCCCAAGGAACAAAGCTGGGAATCGCCTCCCGGGTACCCACGGCTCTCCAGCTCTCTTCCCCCCATCCTTGCCTTGCAGTGGAAGCCTCTCTCCTCTCATCAGCTCAGACAAGGCTAATTGGGGTGATAAAGAACTGGCTCCGAGTGCTGGCGTGGGCTGGAGGAACAAATGGTGCGGTGGTCACAGCTGGTGCTGCGGAGCCGGCGCGGGAGCGGGCGCGGGGGAGCTCCCTGCGCCCCAAATTGAGGCATCCACTCCCGGCTGGGTGCGAGGGGGGTTGTGTGTGTTTTGCATGGCTGCTGACACGGGTGTAACGTGCAGGCGCGGCCGGTGAGGCAGCAGCAGGCAGAAAGCAGATGCTTTTTGTTTGGGGTTGATACTCATTTCTATCCCAGCTCGGGAAAAGGTGTAGAAAGGAATGTGCTCCGGAGAGTGCAGGGAGAGAGATAGGTCTAGGCTCGCTGCCAGGGATCCTGGAACGATATGGAAGGCAGCTAGGGGAGACAGGAGCAGATGGATTTGGCATACAGCTCATCACTCAGCCAAAAAAAAAAAAAAAAAGGAGGGGGGGAGAAGAAGGGAGAAAGCAGCCAATTTTGGGAGGGGGAGGGTCATGACGGAAGCTGCTCCGGGGTGGGGGAAGGGAGGACCAGGATGGTCACTGTGTCTTCTGCTGCTGCCAGCGGGGAGAGGTGCTGGAGGCTCGTTTGGAGCCTGGGAAGGGTCTCCTGGCCATTCCAGCAGCTCTCGGCCATCTCCTCCCAGGCCTTTGGTCACCAGGGCAAAGCCCAAGGCAGGGCCAGGCTCTCGGAGCCCTCGGGAAGCTCTGCCAGGTGTAGGAAGGGCTGTGGCACCACGGAATCATGGAATGTTTGAGGCTGGAAAGGAGCTTGGAGATCACAAAACTCAACCACCCCTGCCAGGGCCAGCACTGCCCCATGTCCCCAAATGCCACCTCCAAGGGCTTTGAAATCCCTCAAGGGATGAGCATCCAAACCTCCCTGGGCACTTCCAAGGCCTGAGCTCCCTTTCCATGGGGAACTTCCTGCTGCTGTCCAACCTGAGCCTCCCCTGGCCCAGCCTGAGGCCGTTCCCTCTCCTCCTGTCCCTGTTCCTTGGGAGCAGATCCCAAATCCCCCCGGCTGTCCCCTCCTGCCAGGGACTTGTGCAGAGCCAGAAATTCCCCCTGAGCCTCCTTTGCTCCAGCCTGAGCCCCTTCCCAGCTCCCTCAGGAATTCTCCAGCCCCTTCCCAGCTCCCTCAGGAATTCTCCAGCCC